TATTAAAACTTGCTGGCATCCCCATTATCTGTTGCAATACTTGACATGCTGCCATGCAAATTTTTACTATATTTTAGGTTGTAACTGGCAATCTGTCTGTGAGAAATGGGTAAAAAGTATTTATTTGGGTGGAGCTAACAATGTATGTTTGTGATGCTTAAACAGTATATTTTTTTTCTTTAATCTACTTCTGCTTTTGGAAGTGCTTCCTCTTGTGATTAAAATAATTTAAATTATAAGAAAGTAGAATATTAAGAAGACCTGCCATACATCCAGTGAATGCAAATTGGATTGTCTCTGTGTATTAAATCTGATGCACTTTGATAAATTTTATCAAGAAGCAGTGTTCCAGAATCCTTCAGAGAGTTCTTACTCAGCTCCTGGAGGTATGTTAGTATGCTTGAAGTTTACTGTCTGCTTCAACAGCAGATCAATACTGCAAAATGTGCAGCAGCTTTTAGTGAAGATGATAGCATGATTGGGCTTTTGCAAGAGATCCTCAGTGGAGTGGAAAACTTTCCATTTGATGATGCTAAAACCCAACGAAATACAACAAATGAAGACAACATCACAGAAAGGGGAAATGTCACAGAGTCCTTCATGCTCTATTGCTTGCTTCCATTTGCGTTTCCAATGTTCTGCTTCTCACTCTCTGACTCACTTGTTCTCGTTTGAAAAGCATACGAAAGCTACTAAATGCTCGTTTGCTAGATATTCATCTTTTTACAAGTGACAGTCTGGTGGCAAATCTGAGTAGTGTTTTTTAGTCCAATTGGACAGTCAAGGCCTTGTCTTTTCACACTTGTACAGTGCTTACATATATTGGAGGTGATTACAAGAGATCCTGGCACCCTCAGGATTTTTGCAATTGTCTGTCATTGTCTTTCTTAATCCTTATCTGGATGATCTCTTCCAACATAAAAAAAAAATCCCCACAAGAATCTGTGGCATTTGATTCTACTTCTGCAGTTTCATCATCAGAAAAATGGTGGCTTTGTCCCATTTTATGAACAATGGGATCTCAGCAAATTCAATTCTTTCTATGAAATTTCAGGGAGATTATATGGTTTGTGGTTAATTAAGCTCGTGATATCCCCACAGACAATTAATCATGAGTTTCTACTTAGATTTTAATCTGTGATTGGTTTTCTTCAAATGATCGTCTGGATAGCAACACAAACTGCCTGATCACCCTGCAGAGGTATTTAATAGGCACCCTACTTTCCCAGAAATGTTGAGTCAGTCTTTAGAAACTGAAGAGAGAGTGAGAGCTCTGTAAATCACTAGAGTTCCCACTTAGAGCTTCAGAGAGATGGAGGATTCCTTGTGGAGACTCTTAATAGGTTTGTTTTGTTTTTATGCCTTCAAGTCACTATTGACTCCTAATGATGGACTGAATTAGTCCCTGCAGCGTTCTTGGAGAGATTTCTAAAGTGGTTTTGATTGTCTCCTTTCTAGGGATGAGTGGGAGTGATTGGCCCAATGTCATCTAGTAGTCTTCATGCCTAAGACAGGACTAGTACTCACAGTCTCCCAATTTCTAGCCTGATACCTTAACCACTACATCAAACTGGCTCTCCTGTTAGTATGTATAGAAGCATACATGTGAAGCAAAGAAAACCATTTGAAAAGTATCTGAGATCAACCTGTTCTTATGGGTAATTATTTTTGTGGAACAGCAAAAGCGACTTCCTGTTTTTTCTGCTACTATGGCAGTGACTCTGATTCATCTTTAATTTTCTGATAAAACTACAAACAAAAAAAAAAGTGGTTTTACTGCCAGAGGAAAACATTTTTGTTGCTTTTCATAGTCCCCTAATAGACAACTTGGTTTCCTGGCCATTCATTAAGGTCAGCAGGAAATACCTTTTTCTCTCCTTCGCGGCTATCTTCTCATGAAATTGCTGTATATGTGGGCAAAGGCCTTGATTGCAGTGCCCAGAATGTGAGATTTTCTGCTCCAGGTTATCCATCTATCTCTTTCCCCATCTCCACCCTTTCCCCACCGGCATTCCAAAATTGACTTTAACAAGTGGTTGCATTGTGATCTCTTTTCCTGTGTTCCTTTTTTAAAAAATGCTGTAAGTGGATTTTCCCTGTGCTTTTAAAAGGAAACAACAGTAGATGATATGAACCTCAAGTACAAATGCCAGATCAAAATCTCATACCCAATAGTAATAGTGTAGTACAAACAAGAATGCAAATTGTGCAAATGAAAATAATGAAATCCATCCCAAACTTAACATTTGCTTCAACCAATTCCATTAAAGACAGTCCAGTGAGATTGGCATTGCCAGTAAGCAAAATCCACAACTATGTATCTCACCTTATGATTCTGTTGGTTGGTAAATAATGTAACATTCCTGGCCATTTTTAAAAATACTGAATTTATGGATATATTAGCCGAAGGCACAAAATGTATGTGTTCTGTGACTAAAGACAGAAAACAAGTTTATAAGGACAAGATTTATTATAGGCACTCTGTACTCTAACCGTTGATTTTGGTTGATTACACTCTAGTGGTTTTCTATATTATTAAAAAGTATTTGTTCACAGGGAGTGCCTGTGAAGCATGGATGTAGCAGAATGGTAAAACTTCCTCTGCTTTTGAAACTTCCAGCTTATGTTAAGAAGAATGGAAAGTATGCTGATATTGTTTTCGCTGTACTTTTTCTGCTTAGTGCACATTGGTGGTCATAATTTTTCTCTAGCAACAGAAATATGCACCAGATTCAAAATTGGCTTATGTGATGGATACATATCACATAGCTACTTTGGCTGTAAAGCTATCATTTGCTCATCCCTGCTCCATCCCAGGAATGACTTGCTAAAACCTCTTTCTGATAGTGCTTTTCTTTCCTATAAAAGACTTGCAAGATAATTTGTAGCTCATCTCAATACATTATAGTTTTCATGTTGAGTTGATATTCCATTCTGATCTATCTGATGGGGGGTAATATTGCATGACTATGCGCTAAGGCATCTTAGGGCCATGTTTGATGCAACATTAGCCAGAGGAAAAGTTGTTTTATGTGTCTGCTATCCAGCAGGACAACCTAATTAAAGACCCTTAAAGATCCACGGGGCCTATATGTTTAAAAAAAGGAAAAGGAATACTAGTGTCTTTAATTTAATCCAGTAGATTATCTATCAGATCCTCTAAAATTTGTTCATTCAGAGATGTTCACAGGGTATGATAAAATAAAATCTAGATGGTGGCTATGACAGTGCAATTGAAGTCAAAAAATGGTTGTGATAGGTAGATCCATATAAAAAATAGGTAATTTTGATTGCACTTTCACAGCCACCATCTTTGTGTCATATCTTGCAGATATCCTTTCATTCACTTACCAGTTACACATTACTATGATTTTCCCAATTCTTTGGTTTCCGTTATAAAAGGAACCCCAAATGAGATAAACGTTTCCACAGAATATCAGTATTCATTGTTCATAATAGTTTTAGATGCTACCCCTTAGAGTGTTGTCTTTAAATCCATGGAGTTATTGGAAATTGAAGGAACAAATCAGTTCAGTTGCCATATTGATCACATGTTTCTATAGAACAGAGGCAGGATTATACATTTGTACCCCAAAAAGAAATTCAAAGAAAAGTCAAATTTTACTTTCATTTTAACAACCAAGATGGGTGTTGAAACTGCGGAAAGATATGCTTTGTTGGATATGTGTGGCGCCTGAAGCCATTACGATTTGTAATTTCCTCATAATGCTGGACCTGATGTGAAGTATTATTAAAAATTCAATGCTATATATTGTATTCAGCTAGTAAATCATATAGGAATTATTGGAGGATATTAATAAATGTTTTGGATTGGCCCCTTTCAGGCCAAAAGGAAATGTTTTTAAAATATATGTAAATGTATTTGGAAAAAGGAAACCTGACAAAATTACATATAATTTTTAAAATGTATGTGCAGAATATACTCTAATGTGAAGAGAGTAGTTGTTTTGAACATAATATTTTCATAATTTAAGGTTCTCACTTAAGGACATTATTAACAGTAAAAATAGCAATCGTGTCAAAAGAAAGCTCTCCAATAAACCACAATTAAACTCCGCATTAAGAAACTGACTTTAAAAAAAATTAAAACAATATCAAGAGTTCTCTTGTTTATTATTATTATTTTCTAATGTATTACATTAAGCTATATTAACCTACTGAATATTTGTTTGTGGTGCATTATTTATCAGTCATTGTCTATTTTTTTTAACTGCCAGAAATGATTTTTTATTGCTAAGAGGCATCTCTTTTTCCTTATTTAAATAAAGACATGTACATAAGAATGCTTCCAGTTCTATAATGTGATTGAATTCTCACTTTCTGATCTCCCATAATGTCTTGAGCCACTAGATCTCCAAAATAACTCAAAATAAATAACAACTATAATATTTCCAATTCTCCGAGTCAGATAGATGGGCCTGATGTGTAAACACCTCTGTCTTCTCTTCCTAACCATTTCTGCTCTCTGTCTCTGTCTTCTAACTACCTTCCATCTTTCCAGATGCAGGACGCTATGGGCTATGAGTTACCCTGGGTGTACTTTGTCAGTCTGGTCATCTTTGGATCCTTTTTCGTTCTTAATCTGGTTCTTGGTGTGTTGAGCGGGTAAGCTGTTAGTTTTGGTGTTTTCTTCTCCTCATGCTGCAGGGCAAGACTCCAGGATCAGGATCCTTCCATGTCACCAAGCTTCTTAGCTTGTCATAAACCCAAGCAAAGAGTCTGTTTAATGAAAATTTACATATTAATATGTCTAAGGGCAGTCACATTACAGTAAGACTATATAATAATACCTCCATCAGGAGTGGAGAACTTAGAAAATTTGTGCATTCCTACACAGATGGCTCCTATCTCGCCTTGTCTTCATAATTGACTCACTCAACATTCAAATTCAGTGCTGGTGGCTGAGGTTCCCTTCAACTGGAGATTTGCAATGCACAGGAAATAACTTTTTCTCACTAATTATCATTCCACTCTTCCAGGTCAATGATGCCATAGGAAGGGAGTGGCCCTGGATCTATTTTGTTACACTAATCATCATAGGCTCATTTTTTGTACTTAACTTGGTTCTCGGTGTACTTAGCGGGTAAGCAATAAAAAGGAAAAAAAGGTTTTTCAATTGTTTTTTGTTATTTATTCTCCTTGCTTCTACACTGATATTTCTATTCTTTGGGGTGGTGTTATGGATATACTGTAAGTGTTGATTCAGCATCTACATTTCTTTTGATAATATCAATGGTCTTTGGCCAAACCCTATATGGTGGCACAGTAGTTAGAATGCAGTATTGTAGGCTGACAGGTGACAACATTCATGACAGTGGAACTAGTCACTAGAGAGAAATTAAATGTATTCAAACTGAGGCGAGACCGTCATCTTTGCATCAATTTAGATTCCTACATTGAGAAGGAATTTGGGCTCAATGTTGTAAATTAAAATGATAATTCTGTGTATTCCATGTTTATATTTTACCAGTTGGAATATATTATGTACTTTCTTAGCTTGACAGCCAAAAACTAGCAATGCTGGAGGATCATTGTAAAATCAATTTGGCCTATAAAAGTGCTAAATTAGGGTTTGGTATAACAGTAATGTTGGAATACCAAGAACACATAGATGCTAAGAGAAGAATTTGGTGCCATGGTTTAAAATTGATTTATGAAACCTGCCTTATTAATTTAGCTAAACCTGGCATCCTGTGTTATTCCTGGTTTGTTTTTGTGTTTGTTCTCTTTTACAAATCCTGAAATTGCAAGATAAATAGTACTTGAATAGTACTTAATAGTACTTGAAAATAAATATAGATTAATTCTCAGATTAAATTGTGGTCCAATGGCTTTCTCTCCAAACTCTTCTCTCATCCTCAGTCTTCAGTCTACTTACACTCTGCTTTCTGTGAAATAATCTCTGTTCATGTCCTTATTGCCTGCTAATTGGATTATTGTAATGTAGTTTATTCAATACCCTTAAAACCATTGAAACTTCAGCTGATAAACAGTGCAACTGCACATATGGTTCCAAGACAGAAATATTATTGTCGCATAACACCACAACTGTAGCAACTCTACTGGTTCTGATTGTTTTCATGCACACTTTAAGGAACTGGTTGTGATCTACAGTATAAAACTTTATATCCTTGGAGCTCACTGTAACTTCAAGAGTGCTTCTTCCAAGTAGAATATGTATGCCTGCCCAAAGTGCCTGCTGAGAGTCCCCATGATAAGGGGGGACATTCACACAAAAGCAGAACAGATGAAACACGGAGCACAAAGCAGCAATGCATAACCATCAGAACATCTCCCTTGGTTCCTAGGAAACATTCCTGCAAATAGATTGGCGAAATAGTTGTATACCTTGGCTAGAAATTTGGATGTTGGCAAAAGACATGCAGATGAAACAAACCAGGAATTAACTAAATACTCTATGTTGCTTTATTTTAACCTGTACTATATAAGCTAAACACAATTTGGCCCTCGTGCGATATACAAAGATGTAGGAAGGAATGGAAATTGAAATTACTTCACAAAATGCCAAATAAAAGAGAATTGTGGGTAGATGCATTTTGATCACAGGTTGATACCCAGTATACTACCATCATTAGAACATTTTTAACCCTGTATTAGATGTTCCAGAAAGATGTCCTTTTGATATTAACATAATGGTTTTCCCATGTAGAATGCTCTGATGCAAAAAAAATATATACAGAACCCTATATGTAGTAGATGGCAAATATCTGCTTTGCTGGATGTAAATTTCCATCAGTCTTGCAGGAACACCAAGCAAATCAAACTATTTATATATATATATATATTAAATTCAGGTTCAGTCTTTGACTCTATAATTTAAAAGATTACAAGATGTGTAAAATATAGTTCTTAAAGCCAGGACAATTGCTACCAGGTAGCAGATCTGATATTGTAATAAAGGAATCTGAAGTCTAACGTCAATATTCTTTCTGGTGTTGAGCATAAATCTTCTAACTTTTATTATTAAAAGACATTTTTAAATAATAATGTTTAATATTGCAGGGCCAATACAGCCTAGGTTGCATTTTCTAGTGGATAATACAGGGCAACATTACAAGAGATTGGACTCCACAGACATAAAAAATTAAATTTAATATTCTTGGCTTAATAAAAAAAATCTTTAATACTGTTCACCTTACTTATATGAAGTGCTGCTCAGAAAAAGGCACCCAATCTTGATTTTCTTATGGTCCACCTTTTCTTTAATGTTCCTTGGTACAAAAATGTGGGCTTTAGTAGACAAACTCTTATGGTTTTTCCACATTTGTAATTGGTCTATTTTATTAGCAAAGGTCTTTCCTAATTAATTAATTCACTGAGATGCTTTGATCCTAAAAATTAAATAAAGTATCTTGTAATGTTCTATTTTAAAATTTCTCATGATTAGAATCCTGACAATGGAACAAAAACCAAACAATAGGACAGAGAACTTGAGACAGCAAATCGATATGACATATCTGCCTTATATTCCTAGTAATGTATTGAATGCAATATTGCACCAGGTGTAGGAGATTTTAACAATAACAACAACAACAATATCTACATCTCAAGTTACAAAAGTAATTTGAGATGCAGCACAGAGAGCTCACATCAATGGTGGGATTCAAGTAATTTAACAACCGGTTCTCTGCCCTACTGATTTCTTCCAACAACCAGTTTGCCAAACTGCTCAGAAAATGAACAGGTTCTCCTGAAGGGTGCGAACTGGCTGAATCCCACCACTGGCTCACTAGCAGTTTTAAACCCTAGCAACATACCGTATCTTGAGGAACCACAGTGCTTAAATTAACATGAGCAGCTGAGTTATCATACCAAGAAACTTAATATTTTAAGGGCAATTCAAGTTATTCTCTTATCTTCTCTCTCTTTCTCTTTTTTTCTTTCTTTCTATTTCTCTCTCTTCTGTTCTTTTAATTTAATCCCCTCCTTCTCACCAGGGAGTTTTCTAAAGAGAGAGAAAAAGCAAAAGCTCGAGGTGACTTTCAGAAACTAAGAGAGAAACAGCAACTGGAGGAGGACCTAAAGGGATATCTAGACTGGATAACTCAGGCAGAAGATATAGATCCAGAAAATGAGGATGAAGGCATGGATGAGGAGAAGCCCCGAAACAGTAAGAAACTTTCTCCTGTTTTCCTTTTTGCTCCTAGCCAGAGATGATTTCTGAAAGTGCTCTGCATTTTGAGAAACATCATGAGCTGAAATATGTTGTTTTCCTTCTGAATCAAATATTGCTTTATAAAATAGGATGGGGAAGATGAAGAAGTCGATATAATTACTATTGATTCCAAAAGACCACGTCTTTGCTTGGCACTGTGTATTACAGAGGAAAACTGGCATATACATTTTATTAGAGATGTGGTTTAAAATGTGCTTTGGGCTCTGTAGGTTTATTGAACTGCAATTCATCCTTTTCCCTTTGAAATAATTATCTTGAATACTTCAAGCTGACTCAGCCTTGTGCTCGTGTTTGAAACATTTCTGAAACATCCTTTTGCCAAAATTTTTCAGGCCAAATATAAAAGCAATACTATCAGTAAAGTAAATACAGTACCAGAATGGCCCTGTGAACTTAAATAGATATCTAACATACTACATGCATTATGAGAATAATATCTCTAGAATCAGAATCAAAATATCATCTGTATAATTTGTGAATTCATGTTATTAGAGAAATATCAGCTCCACATTACGAACCTTGCTTTGCTATGGTGGGAAGGTAATATTGCTTTGAATGATGCCACTGTTCCAATCACCACCAAGATGAATTGTTGCAGATTTTCTCAAGGTATTTTTGAATGTATTCTGTCAAATTTACAGTATATCAAGAATTAGCCAGAATAGGGGATGGGGAGGCTCAATCGGTTATCTAACCTGTTCCTGTATCAAAATGAGAGATATTCTTTGGTTGCCAGCAGAGGTGGGTTTCAGCAGGTTCTAACCAGTATCTAGAGAACCGATAGTGGAAATTTTGAGTAGTTCGGAGAACCGGTAGTAAAAGTTTTGACTGGCGCCACCCCCATCTATTCTCTGCCTCCCAAGTCCCAGCTGATTGGGAGGAAATGGGGATTTTGTAGTATCCTTCCCCCGCCACGCCCACCAAGCCACACCCACCAAGCCATGCCACGCCCACCAAGCCACACCCACAGAACCGGTAGTAAAAGTTTTTGAAACCCACCACTGGTTGCCAGAAGCTAACATATTTTTAATTCGTATTCTGCTCTTCTACATGATGCTGCTGGAAGTGATTAGGAAAGGAATAATTAGACATGGTCCTTCTTTTGCCATGCTTAGAAGAATGTGCTTCAAATGGCAATAAATATTGCTGCCTTGTCTTTCTATCTGTATGGTGATCTACTTTTTGGCAGAAGTTCAGAGGGTACTGTATGGCACATTTAGATGGGTCCAAAGCAGCATGTTAAATAAATGAGTATTAAATAAGTAGTTATTCCTTTCAGAACGTTTCACAATTTTGTCTTCTTGCTTGGGTATTGATGGCTTGCATTTTGAGAGCTGTGATTCCTCCATTAATAACGTTTGTTGTATTGATTCATTGTGTCCGAGTCAAAGAGTGGCTGATTTTGCTTCCATCCAGGCTCCTTTGTTGCAGTGTATTTCAGAGGTCCTTGCTGTTGTCTGGCCCTGAGCTTTGGAAATATTTATAGAGTAACATGAGTTATTTTACATAAACATTTTTGATGTGTGCTAAGTATGGATTGTGTAAATTTGTCTTTACTATATAATAAGAGGTTAGGTTTAGAGGTGCGTTTCAGCAGATTCTGACCAGTTCTGGAGAACCAGTAGCGGAAATTTTGAATAGTTCAGAGAACCAGTAAATACCACCTCTGACTGGCCCCGCCCCCATCTATTCTCTGCCTCCCGAGTCCCAGCTAATTGGGAGGAAATGGAGATTTTACAGTATCCTTCCCCCTGCCATGCCCACCGAACCACGCCCACCAAGCCATGCCACGCCCACCAAGCCATACCCACAGAACCGGTAGTAAAAAAATTTGAAACCCACCACCGGTTAGGTTAGGTTGCTTTATTGTGGTCATTAATCAGCACAAGACATTTTAAAGACTAGATCTTCGAAACAGTAGTTGTGAGGATAAATTTGGGGTTGATGAGATTAATCATTGTCATAAAATCATTGGTGTAATATAGCAATAATATGACATTATGACAATAGCCTTTAGGTATTAATCATAAAAGGTGCATTATATAGTTTTTTAAAACAATACTTCTGGATTAGAAATTTCTCAGCTATATAGAGAATGACTATTCTAACAGAAAGGCAGAATTTGAAATTAATACAAACAAGAAAAATTATTTTGCTATGACATGTCATTAGAAATAATGCATACAACATGACAGTAATTATGTCAAAGAGGAGAAAAAGTGACTTTGCAGCTAGTAATGTTTTTCTCACAACTACAGTTTTTTTTCAATCAACTGAACAAATGCACACTGTATGAACTATAAACAGGAGGGGACCTAACGTCTCAGGGAATGGGATGTTGATTGGTTGATGATTTTGGCTTTCCTTTCAGGCAACTGAGTTCAAATTCATTTGTGAGCATTTCAAGAATGGGAAGATTTACAATGTGTTCATACTTCACAGGGAAGGCTTGTGCAATCTCAAGTTTAATTGAGTTGCTAGAATGCATTATCTCTACTTTGAAATCATGCAAATTTTTCATTTAAAAAGGGAATTCCATAATATAGTCATTAAAGCCACTGTGTTTTTCAGTTTTGTTGAAGATATAAAAGTACCTGCCAGGTACAGGTAGTCCTTGACTTACAACCATTTGTTTAGCATCTGTTCTAAGTTATGACGGCACTGGGAAAAGTGACTTATAACCGGTCCTCATATTTATGACCATAGCAGTCCTATGTTCATGACCTAAATTAGGTTTGTAAATCTCTTGTATTTCAGTTTCCTACACCCAGTCTAATGGAGAAGCAAATGCTGTTATAGTATTTTAGAAACCTTGTTTTATTAAATAAGATAAATATTTAAGGTAAGGCATATTTAAGGTAAATATTTATTCTCCTGTTTTCTTAAATAAATAATATTCAGCAGCCACATAATTCAATTGTGAAAAGAAAAAATAGCAAAGAAAAGGAACTAGAATGTTGACTAATATGGATATTTATTCCTTGAACACAAATCATGTTATTATATCCTCTAGAATTTATTATCTGTTTAAAAAAAAAAACCAACAATGGGAGAAGGGTTAGAATGCAACGTTGCCTATTTTTCTTTCTCAAAGTGGTGGAAATTCAATATGTAACTACAAAAATATTAGCTATGTGTTTAATAGAAGGCATTATGTAGCCATAACCTCACTGTGCAATATAAGAATAGTGGTTGAAGTAGTGATGGAATTGCTGGTAACATTGGCAACGTTTACAATGTTTGTACCATAATCTGTAGATAATTTTTTTCATATCTATGCTCACTCAACTCTAAATCAGCTGTTATTAATGTGTGCTGGGATGAAACAGCAAAGATTTACCACTTTCTTAGAAAAAATGGAAATGAGTAAGGAAGGAAGATTTTAAGTCACTAAGCTTAAAATCATAGCAATTCCTTGTGTTACAGTTTAATGAATAGTTTCATAGCTGCTAAAATATGTGAATGGCTTTTTTATTCCTGAAGCTATCAAAAAGGAAGAACCAACAAATTTTGTGTAAAATTAGTGGTGTAATGAAGGTCCTTCAGGCTGTCATCATTTTGCTTAATTTTTCCACACTTTTTCTTGCCAAGGGAAAGCAATGTAAAAAAAAAGAGAAAGAATTAAAACTGCTTTATAGCCGTTCATTGATTTCTACCAAAGGAAGGTAAATGAGTTTAGCTAAATGGAAACTACAGGTAGTCCTTGACTTACAACTGAAATTGAGATCAAAATTTTGATTGTAAGTTGTGACAGTTATAAGTCAAGGTATCCATGTGTCTGGTCCTGATTTTATGACCATTTTGGCAATCATTAGGTAAATCATCTGGTTGTTAAATGAATCACACAGCTGTAAATCAATTCTCCCTTTTGCCAGAAATGAGCAAAAAACATCTCAAATCATGAACATGGGACATTGCAACTACTCATAAATGTGAGCCAGTTGCCAAGCACATGACATGCAGTTATGTGACGGTGGGAGAGGGTGATGTAACATGAAAGCCCCTTTCTAAGAGTATAATAATTCCAAACTATCGTTAAACAACTGGTTGTAAATCAAGATCATGTAGAAACAATCCATATGAACATGATCGCTGCAGTTACACAGAAGACAAAAAAAGAAAGAAAGAGGAATGAGCTACTGCCTAAAGAATCTGATTATTCAAAATATTCAAAACACTAAAAACAAAAATCTCAAAAATGATTGCTCCCCTTCTTCTATGGTCTGGATTGTGGATTGAAAAATTCATTTTACTCAAGTAAAATTGTTGTAATAACCAGTTTAGCTGTTATTACAGTTGTAATAACTAGTATAGCTGCTATAACCAAACTAACTAGTACAGAGATATCACCCTGCCAACAAAAGTGTGTATAGTCAAGGCTATGGTGTTCCCAGTTGCAATGTATGGCTGTGAAAGTTGGACCATAAGAAAGGCTAAGCACCAAAGAACTGAGGCCTTTGAACTATGGTGCTGGAGAAGACTCCTGCGAGTCCCTTGGACTGCAAGGCAAACAAACAGGTCAGTCCTAGAGGAGATCAACCCTAACTGCTCTTTAGAAGGCCAGATCCTGAAGATGAAACACAAATACTTTGGCCACCTAATGAGAAGGAAGGACTCACTGGAGAAGAGCCTAATGCTGGGAACGATTGAGGGCAAAAGAAGAAGCGGACAGCAGAGAACAAGGTGGCTGGATAGAGTCACTGAAGCAGTGGGCATGAGCTTAAATGGACTCCAGAGGATGGTAGAGGACAGGAAGGCATGGAGGAACCTTGTCCACGGGGTCGCGATGGGTCGGACACGACTTTGCAACTAACAACAACTAGTACAGCTGTTTGTACATTCTTAATGGCTACTTAATGCCTTTTTCTCACAGAAAAAGAAGTATTGATGGTCACTCTTTCCCTGTCTTGAGGTCTCCATGAAGACTAGTGACC